GGCCCGGAGGTCTCCGCGCGCCGCGGCTTTGCTGGCGGTTTGTCACCGGCACATCCCGTGGGGCGCGCGGGGAGAGGATCCGCAGGGTGTCCCGCTGCTCGGGCCTAGGCGCCGTTAAAAATGTGCTCAGTGATTTCACAGAATCGTCTGGGTTGGAAAAGCCCCTGAAGCTCCTGCAGTCCAACCCTGAACCTCCCCCTGACCGTTCCCAACCCCACCAGATCCCTCAGCGCTGGGGACATCCCTCCAGGGATGGGGACTCGCCCCCTGCTCTGGGCAGCCCATTCCAACGCCCAACAGCCCCTTCTGCACAGAAATCCTTCCTCAGAGCCAGCCTGACCCTGCCCTGGGCAGCTTGAGGCCATTCCCTCGGGGCCTGGCGCTGGGGCCTTGGCTCCAGAGACTCATCTCCATCTCTCTGTACCCTCCTGGCAGGGGGTTGCAGAGGGCAAGTGTTGCAGGTGGAGTCTGGCAGCTCTCGAGTTATGGTGCAGGGTGACTTGGCCAAAAATGCAGTGACCCCTGCAATTACCATCATCAGAGGAATTTCTGTGTACTTGGTTTCATAGTTTTGTTCCAACCCATGAGCTGGGGACTGTTCTCCGCAGCCACCACCCCAGAGCAAAACCGGGCAACACCGGTGTGTTCACCGGGGAGCCACTCGGCTGCAAGGAACCCTTCGAATCCCTTAAAACACACGGACTTTATTAAGTGCGTTTCGACTTCAAACACACCGCTGGTTTCTTTTCATGAGCTCTCGGGTGCAGGTAATGAGATCAGTGCTCAGTGCAGGCCAAGCTGCAAATTCATTTCAGTGGCACACATGAAAAGGTTCCTGGCTTGAATTAGCAAAATGAAAGATCCACTGAAATGTATTAAAAATGCCTTAAAAGTATAGGTTTTAATATGACTTCAAAGCCTACAAAAGCTGTGCTGCCTGCTCGAGGGGAGGAGAAATGAGCATGTTAGAGAAGGACACAAAGCATCCCCAGGCAAATGGGGCATCCCTCAAAGATCCCTGAATATAAATTGCCCCTTTTTTTTTTTCCCCAGTTGGTTGACTTGGATTTCCATCCAAGAATCCCCAAATCCCAAGTGCTGGAGAGGCTTTGGGTGGGCTGACTGCAGATCCCTCTGCTTCTGGGCTGCTTAGGCTGCTGCCTCATAGAGTTAACCCTGCTGTGTCTGTCTGTCCTGCCCATCCCCTGCCTGCTTTTTCCCCAGCTTGGCAGCAATTCCCCATGAAATAGCTGCCCCACATTTTGAACAGGCAGATCACCCCAACCCCATCCTTGGGAGCTGACAGGAGGTTTTTGCTGTACTGGAGCTGTTGGAGGCAGAGCCATGGCACGGAGCCTGGGTGGCTGCAGCCTGCTGAGCTGCTGTGGAGGGATAAAAAGGGTCTTTTAATTAAAAGCTATTAAGCATGCTGCTCAGCTCCAGCTGGGGCGACATGAAAGACCAAGAAAAAAGCATCCCTGACACTTTACCATCTTCTGCCGTGAAGATCTGATGGCAGCTTTTGCTAATATCTGTCTTTGAGCGTCACCTGAAGCCAGGGTTTTGCTGTCGCAGAGTTTCACTGTCCCAAGGTATTTCCCTGGCAGTTCAACCCGAAATCCCTTCAGCAGCCGTGGATGCTTGGGTATGGTGGCCAAGACTTCACCTGGTACTAACACAGGACCGGACAAGCTGCCTGTCCCCACATAGCTGCCTGCATGGCTGAGGACCTAAATGCAACCTGCCTCGTCCCCTCTAAGTGTCACATCCCCATCGACATGGAAGGGAGCAGACCCTGCCTTGATCTTGCCACCTTCACCACCTTGCTGGCTGCTTTGAGGGGGGAGTTGAAGCTCAGTGGTGTCTGGGCATGGGAAGTATTGTCATGACAGCAGACCCTGAGCAGCGGAGTCTTGACCCTGGCCCTGAGCAGCACCAGACTAGACGGGAGAGACTGTGCATGAGGCTTGGAGAGCCTGCATGGGCATGAGCCATGCGCAGTGGCTGTGGGGTGCCCGTGCACCCCTGCAAGTGGAAAGTGGGGCAGCCAGGGAGACAAGGGGCTCAGGCCAGGGAAGGGGGAGCATGTTCCCAGAGATGTGCTCCATCACTGCCAGCAACGGACCAGGGCATGGTCTGGTGCCTTTGCAACCCTACTGAAGGCATCACGGCTGAGCTGGTGGAGGGAGGGGGACGTGGGGCCTCTGCTTCAGTGCAGACATTCCTCTCCCTTCCTTTGTGCTGCAGGAAATCTGCGCTTCCTCCCTTCCCAGTGCTGCTCCCTGCTCAATCGCTACCAGATGTGGGTCCCATGCGCTTCTCATTAGCCCAGCAGGCTCCAGGCGCTGCCTTCTGCAGGCTGGTCGGCTGGGGCCTGCAAAAGCTGGGCTTTTGGGGGACTTGGTGCAGATATCTGAGCTGGTGTGCACACCCCAAGGTAGCTGGCCCTGCTTTGCAGAGGCCTCGTGCTGCCTTCGTGGCTGGGCCAGGATGCTGGAAATGGTGCAGGGCAAGAGGATGGAACTGGAGCTGGGGGACAGGGTGTTCCTCTGGGACCTCCATGAGTGCCATGGGGACGGAGGGACAAGGGGCTCTGAGTTGAGAGACGAAGCTCAGTGAGCTGAACTGCAGCTGGGTCGCCTGCCGGGGACAATCTGCAGTCCCTGGCTGGGAGTGTGGGGGATGTGCATGGGGACGGGGGCTGGAGAACATGGGTGACCCGGGCGCGTCCCCCCCATGCTCTGCATGCTCCAGGTGGTCCAGGCAGGGAGCACATAAATGATGTGTTGGAATGTGCATGAGGCTCCTGGGGTGTGGGCTCAAGTTGGGGTGGGGGCGTCCCTGACTAGGTGACGGTGTCTGCAGTGGTGCCACAAGCAGCTCAGGTGACACATGGGTGGAGGATACATGGGCCCTTCCCATGTTCCCCATACCTGCTAACACCCAGCAGGAGATCATGGCAGCTGGATCCAGGGGCTTGAGAGCAGAAACAACCCTGCACTTGGCTTGTGATGTTCAGGGAGAACCTTAACCTGAGATGGATTGAGCTATGGAGCGACAGAGTGAGAAAGCTCTTCTGTCCTTCCTCTCCCTGCCACCCCCACCACAGAGCTCACCCAGATGAGAGGGGCTGGGGAAGAGCCCAATGGGACCTGCACATGGTCCCACCTGTTCCAGATGCCACTGGCCCATGTACCTGGAGCAATGTGCCCTGCTGGGCAGGATGAGGCCACGTTTGGGTCCTAATGGCCATGGGGGCTCTGCACTGAGGAAGCAGGGTGCTCCTTGCCTTGGCACAGAGGGAGCTGAGGGTTGTCCTGGCCTGCTACTTCTTCTCGAGCCCCCAAACCATCCCCAGGGCTTTTCTGACACTGCTGGTGCTGAGGTGGGTGGTGAGAAGCAGCGGGACAAGCACACATGGAATGGAGCCCATGCTCCGGCATGGGACATGCGGGGACATCCAGGGAGGCAAAGGGCTCTGCTTGCCACTGCACCCCTGATCAAAGTATCGCCCTGTGGGGTTCAGGCTTCTTGCGCTCACCTGCAGGAACAGTATCTCCCAGGGTGGACAGATTTGCAAAGGTGTTCACTGCCCATACAGGGAAGAGATGCCTGGATGTTACATTCCCCCAAAGGCATGTTTGCATGATCAGAAATGCTGGAAGACATCATTTTTATAGCCTTTCTGGACCCTGAGTTGAGCAGAGATGGCAGTGGAAGAGGGGCGCACACATGCATGGAGCAGGACAGCTTGTTTTTGCAACGGGAGCACACTGCAATTAGGAACAATCCTCCAGGGAAATCCGAGCACAAACCCATGCACAGGAGAGGGCTGCCCGAGCCTGGTGTCCCCATGGGAGAGCCGCCACGTCACCACAGCTCTGAGTCACCGCTCTGGAGCTGGGAGTTCGCCCCCCCCGCAGCCGCTCAGCCTTCGGGAAGCATGGTTTCACCAGGCAGCCAGCTGTCACCCAAAGAGGCCGATGCACTGTGGCTTTTGTGCCAAACGTGGCTTTATTGCTTTTACCGTGGGGCAGGGGACAAGGCAGCATCATCCAGGGCTCAGGCCAGGAGCACTGGGTCGGCTGTGCTGGAGCCAGTGACTCGACAGCAGATCAGCCCAGGCCATGGTGCATTCGGTTCGTCCCTGGCTGGTACCCGAGCTGGGGATGGAGCCAGGACACTCCTGGAGCAGCAACCCCTGCAAGTCCAGGTCTCAAGGTGGTTCCTCTCCTTGGGGTTGGATCCTACTCTCTTCACCTGGCTTAGTTTGGATGGTTTGCCTGAGTATCCTCCAGCTCCTTCTTGGACCCTCCAAGAGCTGCACCAGCCCTCTGCACCCTCGGGGAAGAGGCTCCAGCCCCAGGTCACCAACTCCATCCTGCACTGAGTGTGTGGTCACCCATCATGGTGGCTTTGCTGCCTATCCCCTCCTTTTTCGGGCACTTTAACCTCGTGTCTGACCTCAGCCTCATGCACGTTCATCCCCTGGGCAAGGGGAGAGTGTGGCTGGGACTGCAGGAGCCTCACAGCCTCGGGCTCACCGGATTTATTCCAATTTAAACACTGCAAAGTAAAAGTGTTTTCCCTGCTCTGGCCTCTGGAGCTGAATATCTGAACGGGAATTTCACCCCTGAGCTGCAGCTAAAATAAGATCTGGATTGAGGTGGTCGCTGGCTCTTGGTGGCGCTGGGTGAAACCTCGGTGCTCCCTTCATGACCAGCTGCTAATGTAGCCAGTGGAATGAGGGCTACTGAGCTGGAAAAGCTGGGTTTGACCTGCCAAGAGGAGCATGCATCGTTGGAAATGTGTTGGAAAACATGGCTGGGCTTTGATTGTCTCAGCTGAGCATCCATGGGGACTCAGGAGATGCTGCATGCAGGCATCCTGACTGCACATCCTTCCCT